AATCATTGAAAGAGGGTGGCACAGTTTGGCTTCCTTGAGAAGCAGACTCCGAGTCAGAGTCAGAGATTAGAGGGCAGGAGGTTCATGGAGTGTTCTAAGGATCATCACCTACGAAAGAGAAGGCAAGGGAAGAGAACTGGCAGAGGAAAAAGTTGAGCTGTGATGGATTCTCAGTGAAAGACTTAGTCCTTTGGAGTGCTCTGAAGATGGGATGACCTTTTGAAATCCCCTGAATTGGGGCAAGAAGGCCAGGCTTTTATACCTCCACATTGACCGGTGATTGGATGAAGAGCTCCTGGGAAGGGAGTGTCACCTAAGGCAGGGAAACTCTCCAAGAGAGGCAAGTCCTGAAAGAGGCTGACAGCTTTGTCCTGTCCGCAGTGCTGCTAGCAGCTGGGGGAACAAGGTCTTCAGTCCAGAAAGGGAAATTGGGTGGTGTCTCATGGAAAGGAAATTAGCACCTACCACAGCCATTTGTTGAATATATGAATATTCTTGTTTTAGCTTTCAAATCGCTCACCCTTTCCAACAGAAAGATAAATGTAATCATTATTAAAGCTTGTACAGACGATTGCCTGTCAGGAACCAGCCTGAAAGACGAACAAACCTGTGTTCGAGCGGTGGGAATTAAAGAGACAGACAAAGTTATGGGATCAGGAGGGCTGCCCTCCAGTGAGGTGCAGCACCAAATGGCTTCAACGCCTTTATTATACAGTGAGTAACAAACAATTAATAATGAGGTGGGGGTGATACAGAGTAGTTCCTTCAAGGCCGCATGAACACTCTTTCAGAGTAAACACCCTGCCTCCTGCCTGAGCTCAGACCTTGGTAATTATCTTTATCTCGGCTTCTAATGGGAACTTTTGGGGAGGATTGAGTCCTTGGCTCCAGAGCCTCAGGCTACGTGGACCATGTCCAGACACGTAGTAGGCTCTCAATATCAAGGGTCATTGTGGGGAGGGTCGAGTCCCTGACTCCAGACCCTCAGGTGGCGTGGACCAGGTCCAGACACATCACCAGCTCCCAACAATTGCCTTTGATACTAGTTTTTGTTATGTAAAAAAGACTGGCAAGACATCTTTGTAGTGAAGCTATACCTATGGCCAATGAAAATGGCATTATGTGACAATCCTGTGAGAGTCTGCTGTAACTTAATGTGCATTTATTTTTGCACATTTTGAAAAAAACCTTTCCTTTTAAATCCGTGTCAAATGTACAGAAAACTTGCAAAAGGGGTAACAAAGAACTTCTCTTATGTACTTCCTAGCACAGGACGATGTTCCAGGTTAAGTTTGTACTTCCTCTGGAGTCGCCCATTTCTCTGAACCTCTATCTAAGGCCACCTTCCACTAGTCCTCTGGACTCATCACAAGGATGTAAAAGAAAGGCTGAAAAGTTCACGAAAGTTATATAATGGATTGTTTTTTGCTCTTTGAATTCTAAAGATAAACACTCTGTGCTTGAAATCCTAAGCTCCAAAGGTACAGACTTCATAAGAGTTGATTCTAATATCTTCACCATATAGACATGTATCTTTAGGATATCTTGGAAGTAACGTAGTTAATAATACTTTGCATAACATAGTTTACATTTATGTAAACAAGGCCTGTAAAAAGTGATAAAACCGCACTCTGGTAAGATTTGTGACTGCCATTTTGGCAGTGTGGTTGGTGGACTTTAAGCAGATAACATAGGCTTATGTATCAGTGGAATCATTTAGTATGAAACTAATCTCTACCTCATTAGGTTCCTGTGAATATTAAATGAGATAGCTCCCATAAAATTATGTAAAGTATAAAGAGCTATTTTAATATCAAATGTTATTTAGAAATGTTAATCATTTAACTGTTAAAACCTCTAAAAATGACCTCCCTGGTTTTCTCAAGAAAAGAAAAAAGTGTGGCAAAAAAATCTACTTAGCTTTTTAAAAATGCAAGATTGCTTTTTTATGCCATATTTTTCCATAGGACCTTTAATATATCTCAAATTGCGATTTTGCTAAAATCTCTCTGATTGCCCTATTATTGCTCATTAACTTGCTCACATACTTTGTTAAATTTAGAATGTTATTCTTTGGGGTTGTTCACAGATAAAGTGTTAAGCTGTTAAAATACTCAGAAGAAAATACCAATGAAAATAAGTCTGCAGCTCTTTCAAAATAAGAAAATAGTTTGTTAGACTATGGGTGGACCTGAATAATGAGCTGGGAAGAAAAAGGATGATTAAAGAATTCCTACTTTCTATTCAGTGGGAGTTTTGTAGGAGACAAAATTAATAAATTTCTGCTTTGTGTGTGTGTGTGCGTGCGTGTGTGTGTAAGAGTGGTATTGTTTTTTAGAGTTCTTATCTTTTAGAACATGTACTGAAATATTTTTAAATGAAATATGAAAATATTTTTACTGAGGGGAGTGGGTGAAAGTATAGTTCAGGGGTCAGCAAACTTTTTTGTAAATTGCTAGAAAATAAATATGTTAGGCTTTGCAGGCCACACAATCTCTATTGTAACTACTCAACTCTGCTATTGTAGCCTGAAAGCAGACACAATACGTAAACAAAAGAGCATGGCTGTGCTCCAGTAAAGATGTATAGAAACAGGCAGTAGGCTGGATTTGGGCTGTGGGTCAGTTTCCCCACCCCTGGTATAAATGAAACAAGATTTACCATGATTAATAACTATAAAGCACAGTCATAGGTACACTGATGTCATTACACAGTTCTGTGTATATATTTGAAATTCCCGTATTTTATATAATAAAAGTAAACAAATCATGAAGGATGTAATAAATTGCCTAACTCTCCCCTCCCTGACCCAAACCCTACCCCACTGTAACTTTGCAGTTCTATCTACAACACAGGAAACTCTTGGACCGTTTGCCTTTGGGTTCAGCCATGGGACCTGCTTTGGCCAGTGGGATGTTAATAAATGTGATGAGTTATTTCACCTCTCTGAATGTCCTTTAGCTTCCTTTCTATAAAACAGACATGACAGTACTTACTTCACAGGTTTTGGGATGTCTGTAAAGCATTTAGCCCAGTGCCTGGCAAATAATGGGGGCTTAATAAATTTAAGAATAATATTTTCTAAGAAGCAGTTTTAGACATTTTAGTGGTGTCACCAATATCCATTCCCACCCCTCCAGCTAGTTACTGTTTCAAGTAAACCCTGCATAATCTGAACAGCCCACATTTGCATGATTATAAGAATGGACTAGTACCAAGTGGATCTAGTTGGATCTCATTATGGTCCTATTAAGATATATAGTAGGGGACAAGTTTTTTCCTTAATGTGAACTGCTCTTACATCAAAGGATAACCCTACTTGGCAATTGTGTTCTTTGGGCGTATTCTTTGTACTTTCTACTAGTTTATTTACATTTGTTTGCACCCATATTCATGAAGAACTAAAAATCTATAGCTTTCATTTTTGCTTTCAGTTTTGGTGTCAGGGTAGTTAATTATTCAAAATGAATGTGTATATTCGCCTTTTCCTGGCTGTAGGGAAAAATTATATACCACAGGGATAATGTACTTCTCAAAAGTCTGGAAAAATGCATGAAGTTTATCAGGGATCTTCTGAGGAGATACAATTCACTGATAACTACCTGAATTTCTCCCTTGGTTGTTGACCTGGTCAGGTTTTCTAATTCTTCTTTAGTGGATTTTCTAAACTTGTGTACTGAACATTTAACAAATGTTTAAAATATAACTGAAGACATTTATATTTAAGACTCCCGTTTTTTTCATAACCTTCATTATTTCTGATTTTGATTTCTTAGAAAATGCATTTGCCAAGATGTTGCCTTTTTATATTTTTCTAATTTCCAATTAAGCTCGTTTTTGTTACTTTTGCTTCTAGTGTTGCAGCATGTTTAACTCATTCATTTTTCCCTCTCTATGCCTATCAAGTTGCCTTTCAGCATAGCTTTAAACACATCCTGTGTGTTCAGAAGGTAGGTTTTTAAATTATTTTTCTGGTGATTGTGCTTTATTTTCTAGTTTTAGTACCTTGTGGTCAAGTAGAACCTATGCAACTTCTGCCCTTTCATATGCACTTCAGGGGCTTACCAGGTTCCAAGGACTGTCTTCAGCTCTTTTACACTCCACTCAGATGCTGATGGATGCTCAGCACGTGGGCACCAAATGCAGACCCACCTCATTCCTCCAGGAAACCCAAGGAGGTCCAAAGGATTTAGTCTTGGGGTAGAAGAGGGTAAGTGATTTCCTTGCAACTTGTCTTTAGAACAGAGTCTGAAAGAACAAGTTTGAGGGTTTTGTTTTTTTAAAACTACTGTAAATATTCTAAATCAGCTGATGTGCAGAACAGATCTTTCTGGGTCCTCTATGCTGCCTGTTACTCAGCATTGCCACCTGATTGACTTGTGAACTATTACATTTGAGAAGTTATATCTGCTTTCCCTATACATATTAATTTTGCTTTATATTTTCCATTCTTTTAGGGTAATTTCTCCCTTCTATTTGATTTGTTATGATACTCCACATAAAATGTGTTAAGACCCCCACCACCATCTTTACACCATTCTAAAAGCCTTTGTACTTCTACATTTTAATCCTGTATTATCCTAAATATAAATTACTAGGGTTTGTTGTCTTTGCTGATTGTACTTTGATTTTTAAACTGATTTTAAAGAGGGAGACACACTGTCATTCCAGCTATTTATGCATTCATTAGTTTTATACTGTATTTGCCCCGACAGGGTCAAACCTGCCACCTTGGCCCACTGGGACGACACTCTCATCAACTGAGCCACCCAGCCAGGGCCGATTGTAGTTTTATCAGAGAATGTGCATATACTCTCTCACTCAAATCATATTCTGAGATACCTTTTATGTTAGGTGTGCGTGACAGAATTTGATGTAAAGGCCTCTTGGAAGGAGCAAATCATTCCATTTTGTCTTTAGAATTTAAGCAGTTTTGGTCTTAAGTGCTTTTCTTTTATCAAAGTACTTCATTTGTCTTTGTCAAGGATTTGGACAGGAGACACTGTTATTAACTTTATTGTTAACTATTTTAACAGATTTCAAGATTCTTAAACTTACATTTAATTTTCAAAGTAAAAAAAAAAGTTTTAGTTTTTCTTCACAAAAGGATTTTACTGCTCACTGCACCCCCCTAAAAAAAACTGCCATCCCTCCTTGGCAGCTTCCCTGATTTCAATACTCACCTATGGGCCTTTTTCTTCTTAATTTTGATTCATTTTGGTAGTGTCTGATTAAATGAGTAGCACACTGCATATCACAGAAAGTCTGTTACCTTCACACTTGGACGAGTAGAGAAATCCCAAACTACACAACACTGTGGACACTGCTCCATTCCAGTCGGCATTCAATGTGGAAGCTCTTCAGGCGTGAGCCTTTTTATAGATTGAGGTTTCTTCTGGTAAAACTATTAATTTGTTCTGTTGTCTTGCTTGGGAACACCTACTATTCAAAGGAAAATCTCTGTAATTGGCCTTTTACACCTGTACCTTCTCTCTTAAACTATATTCATCTGAGGGTGCTGTTTAACTTTTACTCTGGCCTTTTTGGTTTATTATCATTGAAGCTGCAGGAATCCCTTACAGGAAAGGTTACTAAGAACAATATCCAACACTGACAGAGGCAGCTCTGATCTGGTTCCCAAAAGTCCTTCTTTCTAAATGCCCCAGGATAGTGCTCTTCTCACAACAGAAGTCTGTCCTGCCTTGTGTTGAGTTTTGCTTAACTCATTAAGAAATAAAAACATTAATTGAAGTACTATAAGAGAAATACAACCAAAATGCATAAACCATAAAAAGTACAGTTGGAAAAGTTAGTTATCACCACTCTGGTCAGATTACCGGCACACACCAAAAGCCCCTTTTGTGACCTCCCCTCCCTACTCCATTTGGCCTAAAGATCAGTTTTCTTTTGTCGGCTGGTTTCTTTTGTCAACATTACATTTGTGAGATTCATCCAAATTGTTACATGCAGCAAGAAGTAGCTCATTTACTTGTTATATAGATATTTCATGTATCTAGTATATATTCCGTTGATGGACACCAGGGCTGTTTCCACTTTGAGGCTATTATGAATAACGCTAAGATAATGTTAAGAACACTCTTGTATATATTTTTGGGGTTTACACATGTTCTTATCTCTGTTGATATATGCTTAGACATGAAATCACTAATTTGAGAGTAGATATGTTTCAATGTTAGTAGATATTTGTCAAACATTTCCGAAGTGGATGAGACACCTCCATCAGCAGTTTATGAGTTCCTGTTGTTCCACATTCTCACCAACTCTTGGCATTGTCAATATTTTAATTCTTGCTGTTCTTACCAGTGTAAGGGTACCTTACTGTAGTTGTAATGTGCATTTTCTTGATGACTAATATGACCGAACACTTAACAGATTTAAAAAAGACTCTTCAACTTACACTAACTGTCAAAGTAACAAAGAGGTTTTAATTTCTTTACAAAAAATAAGGAATTTACCCAATCCTCCCTATCTCTGAGCCCCCTCCCCCAAAACCCACCTAACCCACCTATGATCCCTTCTTGGCTTTCTTTGTGAAGTGCTGGTTCAAATCATTTGTCCATTTAGTTACCCATTTCTCAGTGAGAAAAGATTTAGCTATGAGGCCAGTTGCAGAATTGACAGACTCTGAGGATTGCTTTTAGCTCCTTAGCAGTCCACTCAAATGCTGATGTGGTATCTAGCAGATGGTAAGAAATGTTAGACTCATTTCAGTCCTCCAGGAAACCCAAGGAGGTCCTTCAGATCTAGGCTTAGGGTAGAAGAGTGTAAGGAAATTTCCTTGCAATAAGACCAAAGTTCTTAGGACAGAGGCTGGAAAAAACACATTTAAAAAAAATTTCTGTTGTTAAGTATTCTAAATCTGCCAATGGGCATAACTAAGAGATCTTTTTGGGTCACTTATTCTGCCTTCGTCATTTCAGCATTATTCTTCTGATCAGAGGTGGGATCTCTTTTATGACCCCTTTACCTAGGTGAATGGCAACTGTGGTTCTCTTGGTTAAAGAAGAACTCCAAGATTGTGCAGCTTCAGGGCCGCCAGTTAAAAACTACAGAATGGAGCCTCTTCTGATGGGACTCCCAATGGCTAAAGAGTTAGAAATGGGAAACTAAGGTATCACCCTGCTTTACCAAGTTGTTTCAATGTGAGTTTTGACTCAGCCATTAAAAAAAAATCTACCCATTACTGCTTTATTTAGTAAAAATTCCTTCTTGTTTCCACTATTCTTGCCTAAGTTTCTATGAATGATATTTTTTCTTATTTGAATGTTTTCAGGAGTGTTTTTTAAAAAACTGAGAGGACTGCAGGTGTGTGCATTTACACTGCCTTTATCTCTTTTACTTTCTACATGAGAAAACAAGTCCAAAGGGCAAAATTGGCATCATATATAAAACCTGCGGTTGGAGAAAACGAAGGCTAATCCTATCAACAAGATCTAGAAGACACAGTACATTCCTGTATTACAGGTAACTTAAAGTCATTAAGTAGAAGCTCGGTGTTCAGGCACCTTGCCAATCTTTCAGGATGATATAAAGATCTACTTCCATCTTTTTGTTGTTGTTGTCAAATTACTTTGAGTTACTGCAGTGAGACTGGGCGGGGTGCAAGATAGGACTACACTACAGTGCCTACAAATCCCAGATTTAGAGTTAAAATGGTAGGAAATAAGCCCCATTAAAGAATTTCTAGTGAACGGACTGAGCCAAGATGGTACATGGTGAGAGTGTGCGATGATAAAGCATAGATGGATGCTATCTTCCCAAGTATACTTTTTTTTTGGCCATTGTTTGGTCTAATTTTGACATTGCCGAAGCAGGTCAGCCAGGCCCAGTGCTCTCAGCAACTACTGTAGATTCTTCCTAGTCAGTCCTATAACAAATCAATTGTCATTTCCTTCTCTACCTTCTGCCAAATGTCACACTGACACATTTCTCAAGTTACTGATGTACTAATAGGGAGGAGGCCAATGGATCAATACTATAAGGATCAAAAACTTCTTCACCCACTACAACAGAACCCAATTCAACAGACTTTGTTGATAAAAAAAATTATGTATTTTCATGTATCAGATCTTCCAGTAAATTAGATGACTTTAATTAGATGACTTTAATTCCCTTCTTTTAGCATTAAAAAACAAACAGAAAATAACAGAACAAACAAAACCCCTAAGAACTCTGTGCTAAACAATGCTGTGACTGATGTATTAATGCTGGAAAATGATAATAATGTATGAGCAAGAAAATCAGTAGTAACATCATTTACCTCCAAAATTGGAAATGGAAAAAGAGGCAGGAAAATTCAGAGTGTAGCTTCATAAGAGTATCTCTGAGAAAGCACTGTGGTTACCCTACTGTGCTCAATTATTTTTTCCCCAATTTCTGTGGAAACAGTACTTGCCTTTTCAGTTTCTGATTTTTCTATTTCAAATACAAATAATTTTCCTCGGTTTCCCGAGGTTTCCTTCCACCACTTCTGCAGCAATATGGTCAGAAAGGCAGTCTCCAGGCTGCCAGAGTAGCTGCAGCCTTGGTCAATTTGAATGTTAGCTAGCTCACGGGGACCTCTGCCATCTAGATATTGGCTTCAATTCATGTATGACAATCACAGGACTTCCTTTTCCTGTAATAATCACTCAAATTGACTTTCACAGTGCTTGGTAACTTTCTCAAAGGATAGTGAGGCCTCCATATTCTCCTGAGGGCAAGTCTTTTTTATTTTAAGTAAACTCAAAGCATGGTCATTGCAATGAATGAACTGCCAACCTCATATTTTAACTAAATATTTATATCTGATCTCCTAGCAATACCATACCTGCAGTTCCCAGGATCCATGTGTTCTTGAGTTAGTTTCTAGAAAAGGAAATAATGCAATCCATTTATTAGAATTCAGGTATTAAAATGGAAGTTTTACCTAATAAGGATGACCTTTATGTTTTCTCTTTACTGAAATCATATGTAAAAATACTTGCTATAGTTTTTAATAGAGCTTATCATCCACACATGGAAGAAATAAAACTAGCATGCAGTTATATCTCTGTGTGAAAAGGCTATATAAATATTTCATTTATTCTTGCCCTCACTAATTTTTACTTTTATACATAAACAAGTTATTAAAAGTTAAAGTACACTTATAATCAACAGGTTTTTGGGTGCACCAAAAAAGCATTTAATTTTATAAGAGGATCCATTTTAATTGCAAGAATACTCACATACACGTCCATGTATTTCTATACCCTTATGGTTATTCTATTTGTTTTTTAGACACTGGTGATAATTATATTGCATTCATATCCCTTTGTCATTTAAAAAGTGACATATGCTTATGTAGTTCTTTAGAGCCAAATTCTTTGATAATTTATTAATAGAATTTGCTTCAAAATAAGTGAAAATAAAAAATAAAATTAGGTAGAAGCTTTGAATGGCATAAAGCAAATAATTACCATCCTTTACAAACATCAGAAAATATTTGCTAACATGTAAAAGCTGGCCTGACATCTTGCTATTTGTGAGACTGCTTTTTTTCAATTTCTTGAAAACAAGAAATTAAAACAAATGCTTAATTCTAAAAATGCCCAAGGTAAAAAGGCTTGGAAACTTCTCAATGTCTTACTGTTACAACAGTCTAACCTAAGGTCCAACATATGGAATCCCTTTAGGCCAGTATACTGCAAAGTCAATGCTATTGACTACCCTATCAGAATCACCTAGGGAGCTTGTTGAAAAACCCACCCCAAACCTGCAGAATCAGCGTACCTGTGTTTTAAACAAACACCTGAAGTGATTCTTGAAGACATCAAAGTTTAAGAACCACTGCTCTTCGGTTTCTGCGTGGCAATGGTTATCACAACTAGTAAAATCTCTTTTTCTTTTGGTTAATATTTAGTAGGTTTCCAATGAAAAGAGAACAAAAATCAGAGAAAGCTAAAATTTTAGAGTAATAATTTCCTTAGTATTTTGCACTAACTTTTTTTCTAGGGCGGGATAAAAAAGCTTAAAAAATAAACTTGTAAATAAAACCACACCATACCATATAAATAAAAAGAGTATATATTCTAGAAGAACCTTTCCTAAAATATATTTCTTGGAATATCAACGCCTTGTTAATAGTGTGCCTCGCCCTATCTGGTTTTGCTCAGCGGTTAGAGCGTCGGCCTGCAGGCCGCAGTCCCGGGTTCAATTTTGGCCAAGGGCACGTACCTCGCTTGCAGGCTCAATCCCTGGGTCAGGGTGAGTACAGGAGGCAACCAATCGATGTGTCTCTCTCAGATAGATCTTTCTTTCTCTCTCTCTCTCTCTCTGAAAATCAATGGAGAAAATATACTCAGGTGAGGATTAAAAAAAAAAAATAGTGTGCCTGTAAGAATGCTTTCTATGGTATATAAAAGCAAACTACGAAAGTACAAACTATGGTTCTCTTTTGGAGATACCAGTGATGGTGTTCAAGAGCATATGAAAGCCTCGTTTCATGGTCAAAAACCTGCGGAACGAATAACTGAACATTTCCTAAATATATTTGACTATGAAAATTTCTTTCCTAAAGAACACTTACTGACTTCTCTCAGGACACTAGTATTTATTTCAAGGAATACGGTTTGGGACATGATGTTCTAGAGCAGCAAAGTTGATAGCTACTTTCAGCATCTGTAAACTACCATAAAAGACCAGACGTAATGAATTTACAGGAAAGTTTTAATCAGGATTTATTTAAAATTATTTATTAATTGAACCATATATTTAAAAGATAAATTTATTAACTTGCATTGTTTAGCTTTTTTTTCTAAACTGAACTTACCTAACACAAACCCTGCTATGTTGGCAATTTTAGTAACTGACATTAAAAGTCTATATATTATGTCCTTAAATCCAAAGTGCATTTGAGAAAACATTTAGCTGACAACATAAGCACTAGAATACTAATGCTGTTTCTCAGATCCAGAATTTCCTCATTTTAAGAAACATGTGACATTCAGGCTTTTAAAAATAAAGCTTTAGGGATGAACTGCAAGGAAAGCAGGAGCAAGGCTACAAGATTGAGAGGATTCAGATTAAATGCACACCAAAGCCAAAGTACCATTGTTCACTGAGACATGCAACTAACTGGGAGATAAAACTCAACAGAAGGTTGCACTGTGACCTTAAATGCAGGGTGGAGAAATTGGGATTATTTAATCTGAATAGAATATTTGGAGGGAAGAAGGGTGTATGATAGTTATCATAAGAAAGATTTGTCTTCTCTGCATGGCTCAGTGAAAAACTTAAAGACTAAGAGGCGAAAATGACAGGGAATCAAATTTTATGTCAATTTTGTAGGAAGTAGTGAGCTCCCTACTTTTAAACTGTTTAATCACCTGATGGGAATATTTAAGAGGTGGGAATTCAAGCATTACTTGGGTAGTAGAGCCAGATAGCCTGTAGGGAACAATTTAATTCCAATATGTAGAAATGGAACTATGTATGCAGTGAATGAGTTTGGGATGACTAAATTTATCTGCTGGTAATTAATCCCCAATTCTCCTCACTTAGGTTTTCATTTATAAAGAGAGCATTTGCTTTCTTTCTAAATATGCCCTTTGGCTCACAAAAAGATACTTAGTTCAATTCTCAAACAGTGTCTTGCCTGGGAAGATAAGACTGAAATTTTCTTTTCTAAATTTACTAAAATTACTAATTCAAAAAGAGAGTTTTGATTTTTCAATGGAGAGATGCCTGAGTATGAAACACTCTATTATGCTCAGTAAATGTAATCTTTCACTAGTTTTAGTTTAATTGAGGATCTTAAAGGCATAATGAGGACATGATTAAGTGATGTTTTAACAACTGTACAGCATTTATAATGCCTTTTTTTTAAGGTGCCAGGTTCTTGACTTAGATATATTCTTTCTGATATATAGCATTCAGTGCAAGAGCCGATAAAAAAAACTTTTCTTGGATTTTCAAAATACAAACAGAGTAGGTTTCTAATTTTTAATTTTCTGAAATAACTATTCTTCCTATCACAGTCTGTTATGAAAATTGCTTACATGTCATATTTTTGGAGTGGCCATTACATTTCTGTATTTATAAAGGGAAAGTGTCCACCTCCAAAGCCAGTGACATTTATTTAAACTTATTTATAAAAAAATAAAAACTTTATTATCAACAATTTAGTGTTTTTTCTTTATCACCATTGCTCTATAATCTTAAAAGAGCGTACAAAATTACCAATAAATTTTGGTTTAACTGTAAAAATACAGTATAAAAATATTTCTAATGATATGTGTTTGACTCTTGCCTTAGAGTAAATGTAAACAGCCAATCTTCATATGTAGGCTGAGTAACAATTACCATATTTTATTGAATCTAAGATGCAACTGATTGAAAGAAGCATCTTTATTTTAGGCTCCACTATGAAAGAAAAAAAGGCTGAAATTACACTATGATACACAATCAATAAGACATTTCCAATTGCAGAAGTGGAAAAATGTGCATCTCAAAATCAATGAAATATGTCATTTAGTCAAATTCTAAACACTATCTATTAAGTCTTTCATTCTCAACTTTCACATAAATAAGGCATGATTTAGTTAAGCAAAGAAAACTTTATTTCTGCTACACATAACAACATATTGCTCTAAGAAACAACTACTATATTAGTTTTAGCAATAATGTGTGGATTCAAAAACACATGTCAACAATCCCTGCTCCCCAGATAAAACAATGTTGTGCAGACTATCAGATATATGAAAAAAAAAAGCTGTCAACTGTCCACAGGGAGTGCGTCCAGTCACATTTTCAGTCAGTCAGCTGAGGACTATGTCATTATTTAGTCTTTGTTCTGTAGAAAGAACACAACACAAGTATGAAAATCATCACCTGAAAGGAAACAGCTGTTGTATATAGCACTCCTAAAATGTTAGGAATTGTTCCTTTATTTCAATATAACCAATGCCATCTGCTTGCTTAATCATAGATGCCCCCAAATAACCAAAACCAGTTACCTGGAAGGATGACGCAAGCACATACTGAATTTCTGAAGTGAAAATGCTGTAAATTAATACAAAATCAGAATGCTATGAAATACTAAAATTTCTTATTTTCCTCAAATAGAAATAGAAACATGTCTTGTATATCAGCCTCATCTCAAAACAGCACTCAACTACTTTCAAAGTTATATTCTTAGACCAGTTTCTTCTCCTATTTCCTAGGAGTGGCTCACTTAAACCTATTTAAACCACTCCTCCGAGACCAAAGGAAGTGGCTTTCTTGAGCAGTGTTTATGTCCTCTTGAATTTCATTCATCTGACCCTCCTTCTCTTTGCCCTAAATATGTATATTAAATAGTTCAATAAGGGGAAAAAATGACAGATATGTATTTCATGACTAGTCATGCTGAAAAATATGCACTTTCTCTAACATGGGGAATTGGATGAATGTACACCACTATCATAGGGAACATGTGGTATTATAAAGTTTTGTTCTCACAGCACCAGCTGACCACGAGGTAGTTTTGTATCATTGAACTTTTAATCTCTGATCATTTGGAGACGACATCTCAAAGGTTTCACTTAAGTGACCAATGAAAGAGTTTCGGCTCACACTTGAAAAGCATTTTAAAAATTTTTATAAGGAATTCTGCTGACTCATTTTCTCTTAATAATGCCATAAAAAAACCCTCAGCCTCAGAAAGGTGAAGAGATCTGCCCAATCACAGCCAGTTAAGTGTCAGAGCTGGAATTTGAACCAGACCTTCTGATTTTAAGTCTAATATTCTCCATACCATATAAACAGCCATTAGGAAAGGCTCAACCACAAGATTAACTTGTATGTTTTTCTGATACTAAGAAGATTTTAAAGTTTAAAGACAAAGATTCTTTGAATAAAAGAATTGTTACCTATATGTTGAAATATTCAGACATGAATAAACATATTTTTCATGCTATTTAGAAGGTAGCTTCTCTAACAGAATTTGGTTCTTAACATTTTATTTGTAAACACAAATAACCGCTTTGTTAGAAGAAAGGCTTGCTAATTCTTTTTCACTGGCAATTTAATATTTCTACATTGTATGGAGTAATGGAAGTGGTTCTGTAATCAGATAAAACATTTGAAAACATTTCTAAATTAGAATTACTCACAATGGGCCCAATGAACACTTCCTATTGTCAATGTCTTCTAGGAAGGAGGAACTAATCACTTAACTTGCTCTACTAGATGAAGGGTCATCAGCAGCAAGGCTTGAGACGATTCATCCTGATACTTGCTAGTTCTCATAATCAGAAAGAAAACCTGACGTGAAAAGAAAATTGCCTGCAAGCCAGTAACTTCAAGCTGCATCTAAAGTGTTTGCCAACTGCTACCATTTGACCAGCAGTGGACTTGGGAAGTTGGTGGGTGTGGGAACAAGAAAACGCTCAGCTTCCCCTGAAACTCAGAATGCATTTATAGAATAAAAATGTGAAAGAGCTGAACATTTCTAAATTTACAAGAATATTTCCCCAAACCATGAAGATATGAATTGACTGTCATAGGGGGAAAAAAATTTAAGTTTGATTCCTGAAAACGAATAAAAGGAATTTATATGGCTGCGTATATCATCATTTATGCTAAATAAAAGTGTTTTTGGTAAATTGTCAGGGTTATTTTTTAAATACATATATACACACGAAAATATTTTTCTGAGTGTGTAGCTTTAAAGCACAAACTCACAAATATCTGTCCAGGACAACACCAACTTTTAGGTTCAAAGGTCTATTATTTGATAGGCATTGTATTAGTGAGAAATCAAAACATTATCAAGTCTGTTATAAATTACCTCAATTCATAACTCAAGTCATTAATTCTTCAAGTTAAAATATTTAGAAGTATTTCAACTTTAATGTTTATGAAAGCATGTAGTAAAAGGTCCAAGTCTTAATATCCAAGACATTCATAAACCAAAACGTAATTAATTTTCCAAACTGAAACCTGATTTTACTTTATAGAAGGGCAAAAACATTCTTCCAGTACATATCAAAACCATTTCAATTTTAAAAAGTTTGTTTAAAAAATACTTTGTAAAATTAACCTGAACTGTGGTTTTATCAGCGAAGTTGTAAGCCATAATGCTTTTAAGTGACAACTTCTAAATTATGATAAAGAAACTCCTAATTAAAGTACTTATTATACATACTCTTCTTGCTATACTATTTAGTCAGTGTGTTTTAAAACTC